CAGTCTTTTTTTTTTTTTTGAATTCTTTATTTTTGAGCAAACATTTTACAGTAAACATATAACACATATACATTTGATGAATGATATCGTACAGGTACAAACGTAGGAAGCATGTCTATTTCTCCTAGCCCTAGTCGCTTAATTAGTCAAGGATCAAGCGGGAGCAGCTTAATATCATATGCAGTGTCCGGGCGTTTGGGGTAATTGCAATGCATATCAGGCATGTCTTAGTGTGTAATAGGCAATAATTTTGATAGGCGATAGTGTGTGAACCAAGGGGTCCACCTGTTTGCTTCCGGGGATTGAGGGGAGGGGAGGACATCAGACAACAGCAGGACAGAGGAGGGAAGAAGGGGGAGGTTTATAGACGAGAGGAAGGGAGGGCAGTACCAGCACGCTAGTGTGTAAGAGAAGGTATAGGTCCAGTCTTTTTTTCTGTATCCCCTGTTATCAACAACATAACATGAGGAAAGAGTATTCTTACTATAACCACAATCATGAATGAACAGGAAGTGATGTATGTCACTTCCCATTCATTCACAATTGAGGATATAGTAACCATACTCTGTCCTCAATTATGTACAAACACTCAGCGACCACTGATACATGACTGCTTGTACCCGCTCTCCTCTCTGACACGCTGTCACAGGAGGCTGAGTGAGCGGTGTAGGGAGGAGAGCTCAGCCTCCTGTGACAGCGCTGTCTCCGCCCACACACCACTCTGCCAGACTCTGATAGGAGGCTGAGCGGTGTGGGAGGAGACGCCGGCCACTCACGTCGCTCTCCTCCCGCAGTGCCCGGCCGGCTATCACACTTTCTCTCCTCCCCGCTGGGACACAGAGCAGCACCCAGTATGCCAAAAGTGCCATTTTCGGCCGATATGTTTCGGCGGCCGATATATCGGTGCATCCCTAATATATATATCATGTTTTTTTTATGGATACATTAATTACACAATAAAGCGGATATGCTAAGTTATTAAGGGACCACATCCCGCACATTAGACTATAAAATATATATTTTTTTAATGTTATTATTTTTAATAAAAATTATTTTAAAAAATAAAATTATATTTATAAATTTTTTGTCTGTGAAGGTTCTCATTCATCCAGGTCACATGGTATATCTGTAAAAAATAAGTCAAGGCAACTGGACTTGCTGTATTTTTCTGGAAGACGTTTCACTGGCCATCCGACCAGCTTTCTC